ACGCCCAGACACCGTGCCGTCCGCGTCTCTCGAGCAGTGCGCGTCCACACGTCGCGACGACACGGCTCCTCTCTACTCGTCGCTCCAATCCTCCAGTGCTCACGAATTTCGGCTGCTGTCGTACGCCATTCTAACTACCCTTTGTGCACGTGACTCTGTTGTCAGCACGAGATTCGGACAGTTGCGGGACTATTTTCTTCGCCTACTCTTCGTGATTTTGCTCCCCATAAAGCATTCCGTTTCGATTCAACGACGAAAGACGCGATGTGGCAAATGGTTCGATCCATCTTGTCGCACAGGATTTAAGGGAACAGAGAAGGTAAGAGAAACGACGATAATAGCGGTATCGTTAATAGTCACGCGACGTCGAAGTTAAATGGACCGAATGTTAAGATCGAAGACGTTAAGAACGGTTCAGGAAACTTAAATTTAGCGGGCAACTTCGGAGCGCGGGGATGGACCACGAGGCTATCACGTTTCGAAGGATCGAGGTTGAATCGTATATTTTGAAGAATCCCGACGGGCCAATAATTTTTCGCGAGCTAGTTAACGTTCCCGCTTCAACAGGTCGTTGACAGACGCCGCCGTCTCGTAAAACGCGTGAAGGGACGGAACACGAGTACGGACGCTTCACGCGAGCCGTGACATCGATTCTTTTTTTCCTGGTCGGCCATCCGCGGTTCAAAAATAATATCGTGAAGCACGAAGACTGGAAGACACGCGGTGAGGTGACACGTTTATTTATGCGACGCTCAGCGTCGCGCGGAAATTGTACTTCAGTGGCAGGAAAGAAACACGGAGCTGAATAATTCATATGGTTATGAACGAACGTTTCGGAGCATTCGTGACATAAATGTTGCATGCACGATGATTCCGCTGGACGTCGCTGCTTCGTCGTCCGGAATTTATTTGCGAGAAAACTCAGAATTCTTTTAACATCGGACGATCGATAAGGAAATTAAAAAATTAGCCGCGAAAACGTTGCCATTTTCCGTAAACTGATCGTCGGAAGAAGCTTGTAAAAGACAGTCCGTTCTTATTAGCCTCGACCATTCCATAGGGGGTGTATTGACTGAGGCTCCACGTGTACCGTGGCCACGTCGGTGTTTTCCACTTCTATTTACTCGGCGAAAACTGAAATTTCGACGGGCTGTCCACCGAGGTGGAAAGCCGAGACAACACTGGAAACTTCCATCGACGTTTCCTTTTGACGTGACCCGATAAAGTGTTATCGTTCGAACGCGCAGCGCTACAAAGCTCGAGCGCGTTTTTCGAGAAAGTTTAGCATTTACTACGAAATATCAGAGCATCAGATTGGAGAGATAGATCAATCACGATAAATAACGTTCACGTTACATTTTTAGTCTATAACGAATATACTTGTGATGTAAAAATATGAAGACAAATTGTTTACAAGGCTGAATGAATATGACGTACACGTTTCACTCCATTTAGCATTTATTCGAGTAGATAAATTGTTTGTAAATGCATGATATATGACGGAGAATTCCATTATGAAAAATGTCAGGGCGTACTGTTTACGAGATTCATCATATTCGACGTAAACAATTTGCTCTACGCTCTACTTTAAACTTTTCCAACAGTTATAATTTCAACATTACGATAAATATCAAAGCAAACTATTTGTGAAACAAATCCACGTTAACATTTCGTTGTGTTTGACATTTTTTCGAACGGTTGAAACATTTTTGAATGCACGATACAGGGTGAAAAATTATCAAAGCGACATTTCACGCCTCGTTCGAGACACAAATGTACGCGGAGATGGAAAATAATTGACTGACCTTGTTCCATACCTCGATACGTCTTTTCATTATACACTTTGTGCATGTTCGTTGTTCACATCACGATGCTCAGTCATTCCGCTTAACCCTTCTTTCCTATCGTTTTCTGGGTCATTTCTTATTGTACTCTAGCTTCGAGTACCACTGTGTTGCCATTTTTCCTTCATTTTTTCTCCTACTATTTGTCGCGTACTGGCACAAACTCCCCCAAGCCATGGGAAACATGCACTGGCGACGTTCGGTTCGTGTCACCGCTGTGAAGTAGATCAAGCTCTGTAAAATTCCGCACGATTCAACGTTGTCGCTGGATGCTGGCTTGCCGCGAGAACACTGCATAAACAGGTTACATTATGATAGATGTGTTTGCCCTTAGCTTGAAAAAATTAGCTTGTTCGCTCGTTTTTCTTATCGCTAGTACGATGCTCGCAGAATATGTTTCATGTTTCACGTGTAGGTTGATTAAAGCAGTTTTTTTTCGGTGGGAATAGAAGATGAAAGGATAGAGGATATTATAATGGAATTTTAGATGAAATTCTGATAATTGAAGGAATTTTCAGATACTATTTATAACTAATATGCAATGTCGAGTATGCTATTAATTTTGATATTAATTAGGCTGTTTGCATTGAAAATCGAGAAATTATTATCCAAGTGAGACATACCTGAAACAACTTAAACGATTGTAAGATATTCATTTCAGAGATACCGTTTCACTATTCTCTAGAACTCTACTGCACAGATAATCTTATTCCTGCGATTGTTCCAGGGCGAATAGTTCAACTTCGTGAGAAGTTGAGTAGAGTAGAGTAGAGAAGAGTAGATGAAAGAATAAATCTTAAGAATAGAGAGATTAAAATATACCGTTGTTCGAGATAGTCGTAGAGAGTGCGTTGTTTCGAAATTGGACGATCGAAAATGGACGTCGTTTTTTCAGATAAAAGCATCCTTAACACAATGTATGAAATTTTCAACATCATGGCATATACGACGACGAATAACCTGAGGGGCGAATGGACGTGTCCCTTCGTCGATGCTTCGTCACGATTAAGTAAATATCCATCAAATTTAACGTATAGTTGCTTCCAATTAGCCAAGAGTGATGCGTATGTACGGGACTTGGATCGATTGGAAAAAGAATCTATAAATTACGTAACACTATATCAAGTTCTATCTATGGTGTTATAACGGGACGAATCGATGATGAGACTAATTGCTACAATACTTGGAAACGATTAAATTAGAAACTTAGTTTACACTTCAATTCTACGAACTTTCATTAACTTCTCTTTTGCTATACGTATAAGCAGATTGCAGGGATTTACGCATCTCCGGAAAATTAACCTCCGGGAAACCCTTAAAAATATGAAATAACGAAAGTGTGGCAAAAAATAATCAAAGTAATGAAATCGTTGTAATTAATTATTTAATTAATGAGCGACAAAAATAAACTTCTATTTATTTTTCTACTCTTTTGGTCGTATCATTGCGGAAATAGAATTGATTTTAGCATATAATAATTACGAATTTGTCACGTGTTGAAGTTACTAAGCTAAATTCCAGAGAGATAAAATTGATCCCAGAACGTGGTAATTAGAGTCGTGAGATATTCAAATTGTCAAGTAAGGTTCAATTTGATCGCATCGTGTGTGGTTTCGCAGCAGAGGAACAGAAATACGAAAAAATAGTATAAAAACTTTATCTAGTTAGTTAGTTTCCACTAAACCTCAGGAGTACTACTATGCATATGCGGAAACTCGTGAGAAGTACGTCCGCTGTCAGGATGCTGTCACGCGTCTTACATAACTCGCTCAATGTTTAATAACCTCACGTCAACGGCAGCAGGTTCCTAACTATTTTCCAGGCAAGCATCGAATCTTCGCGTTACAACTTTCCATCCTCTTCGTTTCTTTGCTCTCATTCTCACGCGAACGATAACGCGTGAAAATCGAGATCACAGACCAGGATACGTGTTCGTTCGAGCAACAGCTCTGATCCGCCTATGAACTCGAATACGCTTAGATAAATATGCGTCGAACGATCCGACATATGTTGCGTAACTTTCGATCGATCCTGTCGCGTTCGAAATATCATAATTATACCTATAAATGTCGTTACGCGTCTGAGAATTAAAGTTTGTTCGCTTGGTTGCGTCCGTAGAAAAAACTAATAGAAAAAGTAGATAGTTTCTTCTCTCTATTTTTTCATAAGGAAGATAGGTTGTTTGTGGAATTGTCAGAGAATGTGAAGGTTTGCTTGATCTATGATTAAAGAGACGATCGTAACGAGGTTTCTTCTCCCGAGCAAACTGTTCATTAGGAAAATAGGTTGTCAAAGTATCGTTAGGGAACGTGAAGCTTCGAGCTTTTGCAATAGTCGTTCGGTTTTCTGTTATCATGGAACTTAGGAAGAAAAGGCGATAAATTCTTGAGGGTGCCATAAATTTGGCCCTTGATACTACTGTGTCATGGGTCAAGGGGCTCGACTAGAAATGGAGCCATGTTGATTATTACCAATAACTTTCGCTATACGGAGAGATATCAATGCTATCTTTATGGCTATCGTTAATTTCAATATTTCTCTTTTGTGATTATTAATATATTCCAGTGTACAATGCAAGTACTGAAATTCTATAATATAGAATATGTATATACGCGTGGCAGAGACCAATTAAAATGATATTTGAGAGCTGTATTAAATTACAGGTTAATTAGTTACAGTTCCTAGTTGGCAGATCTGTTATAAATTTCATTGAATGAGAGAAACAATAAAAATAAATAATTAGAATAAATAAAATGCGATAAAAATAAATAAATAATTATCATACTCTTTTGGTAGGATGAGTTGATTTAAGCGCAAGAAATCTAAAGGTTTAGGATTATTCATAGATTCGTTTAAGGAAATGACGTTTTTGAACTACTGGTGTGTGTCATAGGAAGGAAGCTAGCGAGTAAACTGACACTGGAATTTCATTGGCTTCGATATTCCAGAAATGGATATTATTTTTACTGCCGGACTCGACGAATGATTAAACGACAGTTAAGCGGCAAATTTAGATTCAGAGATTTTAATAGTCACTTAAATGCTTCGGATAATTTGAAACTGCAATTAACCCAGAAGCTCGAACACACAAGCGTAATACTTTCCCGAACGGTAGCATTTCGTTCGAATTAATATCACCAGTGGTCTTTTCGTTCGTAAAATCGTTTCCTTCGCGCTTGAAAAGCTGGAGCTTCATTCGGGGGATATCGCGGTTTCATGTACGTCGTTTCTTTATTGAATAGTCGAAATTTTTTTCCGCTGGCCATAGATGGAACACCGACAGAATATTCGCGCTTTATGCGGAACAAAAAGAATTGTCCAAATATTAAATTGGATATATCGGATAGACAGAAGCCAGTTTTTATTCGAATAACGCTATTTAATATTCTCGTCACTCGGATTGATTCGAAAATATCATCACCCGCCACTATTTCGCGATACAGTAAAAATAAAAAAAGCGTTTTTTGTTACGTTC